ATGTTTATTAATTAGCTATAAAAATAGAATACGGATTAAAAAATCCAAAGAAACTGAAAGTCTATTACATATATTTATTTAGCAATTTTGAGAAAAATAACTTATAGAAATGTTATCAGTGAATCACAATTTCAATACAAATACAATTAATTTTAAAGGAATTTAAAATAATATAGTATTAAGGATTAGGAATTAGAATAATTGTTTTATGAATGTATTCCTTTTATTATTGGATTGTTTTATTTGGGAAAAAGGTTATTTTTGACACTCATGTCAAAACATTTTTCAGTGTAATAATTATTAGTTTTAATTATTAACTATTATTTTAATTAAGTATTATTAAGTTAGAATCATAGTTATAAATCTCGCAGAAATAATAATTTTTGACTTTTTGTGAAAATTTCCCAATTTGGTATAATTTGTAATATTTTTGTAAGGTCCCATGGTATCTTTTTCTTCACTTTTTATTTCTTTTTTTATTATAAAAATTTGCAAAATTAAAATATAGAAAGAATATAACCTATGAATTTACTTGCTGCTTATGAGACACTTTGACCTGGGCTGATATTTAGGAGTTATCAAACAATGCAACAGGAAGTAAGACTAGATAATTTTTCATTTCTGAAATTCTGTGTGACAAGACAGTGTGTACTTTTGATTTAGCCAAAGGAAAACCAGAATGACACCCCAATTCCCACTTTGGATTACATTTTTTTAAACCTGCAAATCAACCATGGAAACAGGAAAATGGTTCCCCTCTACATTTGCTACCCAAAATTACCACTTCAAATGATTGTTACAATCCAGATTTGGTGGTTCTTTCCAAAAGAGTAATCCAAGGGACTACATAGCCCCTAGCAACTGTTTCTCAAACAAGGCTCAGCATGTACTTTGCAAACTAATTGCTACTACAGTAGGTTCTCCACATTCCCACAGGTTAGGGGTGTGGGACCCTGTGAAAGTGGAAAAACCACAAATATCTCCTCCCTCCCCACCATTCTTAACTCTTAATACTGTCGACTACATGTATACTGGCTTGCATCTCTCCCTCTCAGATACTGGTCTGATCCAGCAGAGCTCCTCCTTCTTCATTTATTACATTCTCATGTTTTCACTCACTAGACTAATGCCTCCTCTTTGCCAGAGGAATTTCCCTTTCTGGATGGGCGGGGAAAAAGCCAAACCCTGCTGGCCCTTCCTCTCTCCTCATTTCCCTTGTCTCTATGGTGAATACAATTTCTGCAGTAAACTGAAAAACTTAACAAAACAAAACAAAACAAAACCAAAAACATTTTGATGTATCTTTGCCAAACTTGCAAATAATCAAATCCATGAAAGTTAAAACTGCAAATGTTGGGGTTTGACTATATTTTGCTAACCAATGCACTCCTGCTGCTTTGATATTTAATATTCTCTATATTTTAATAAACCTTCAAGTGAAAGAGAATATATAAAAGTAGGAAATTTATGCATCTAAACAAATTCCTCTGATTGAGTTAAATTAGCATCATTAAGAGAGCAGGCAAACTGCAAGAAAGATAAATCAAGGGCCAAAGAGTAAAAAAGCTTTTCTAACAAAACTGGCTCCCAAAGGCACATTTATAAATCATGATCTAACATAAATGAGATGTGCTCCTAAATTTATGCGTGAGAAGAATGATTATAAACTTCCATGCATAGATTAGATAGGTTCCTGTTCCAACTCAGAAATAACAAAACCTTTTAAAAATTATTTAGCTTATAGCCAACTGCTTCATGAATCACAAACTGGGAAATAAAAATTAACACAAAAAAGTAAGATTATCAAGTCTACTGAGATATTCCCATTCTAAATCATGCTAGATTTTATTAAGAGTCTTTGTAGACCAACATCTTCAATCTGATGTACTCCAGATGTTTTGGACATCAGCTTCCATCAGCCTCAGCCAGCAGGAATGCTGGGAGTTGCAGTCCAAAAGTGACTATAGGGTACCAGGATTGGAAGACTAATATAGGCAACATTGTCTTTCCAGCAGAACTGGCTATATCATCATTACCACCACCACATGTAATATGCTCCTGGGAAGTGCAAACATAGGCTAAGATTACAACAGTGCTTCAAATCATATGGCCTCTAAATATGAGTTTCATGGTGAGCTATGAAATTCAGATCTATCATGAATTTCTTCACTCTAGTTTCACAATACTTTTACCTTTTGTGCCCATTTGGTTTCCATATTGCAATAGGAAAGTAAGTTTCTATATTCTCTTCTGTGGGAATTTTCAGTTAAAACTTTCGCAATAACACATGCAACCTGACTTTTTATGCTGGGGAGAGGAAGCTATATGAATGCTTTTAGCAGTTAACCATTTATCTCAACTTGAAATAACATCCTTGTGACTCCAAACTGTCAGATTAAAGATTATGCATAGACATAGAGGCTTTATAAGCACTGCCTCTATAATTAAAATGCAGTTTTTATAAAATACTGTAGCATTGCTTTAGCATGTCAGCTAGACTGAGTTAGAGGAGGAGTGCAAACAATGGTCTTTTTATATAAGATGCAGATGAAATGTCCCGAAATATTGATGGACAGGAGAGGCAGGGGGGGAGAGAGGGA